ATATGCACCCCTATGTTCATAGCAGCATAATTCACCGCAGCTAAGGTTTGGAAATGGCCTAAGTGCCCATCAGCAGATGAGTGGGTTAGAAAACTGTGGTACATCTGCACAATGGAATACTACGCTGCAGTAAAAAGGAACTCTTACCATTTGCAACAGCATGGATGGAGCTGGAGAGCATTATGCTAAGCGAAATAAGCCAGTTGGAGAAAGATAAATATCACATGATCTCACTCATTTGTGGAATATAATGAACAACATAAACGGATGAACAAAAACAGATCCAGAGACAGAGAAGCATCAATCAGACCGTCAAACCTCAGAGGGAAGGCAGGGGAGGGTGGGAGTGGGGGGTAAGATCAACCAAAGGACTTGTGTGCATGCATATGAGCATAACCAATGGACACAGACACGGGGGGGGGGAGGGCATGAGTGGGGGGGTGGGGGGGCAATGAGGCAATAAGGACACATATGTAATATCTTAATCAATAAAGAAAAAGAAATTTTAAAAAATAGGTGACCAAATAGTCCTCAGCCAATGAGGAACCGGGGGAGGGACTAAATAAACAGGCTGTGTCCCCGGCCCCACGGGTGAGCCTGTTCACTGGGCGCCATTAAAAGTCTCATTTCTCCATGAAAAAAAAAAGAAAAGAAAAACACGACACATAAAGCTCGCTGTGTCATGGATACTGCCTCGGGAATGTCCAAGTAAACGGTGCATTGATTGAAGGTGTGTTTAAGGAAAGCGTTAAGTCAGTCCAGGTGATCTGGCAAGAGCTGTGGAGGTGGGGACTTCACAGGTGCCTGAGGTCAGGGACCAGAGTCAGAGAGAATGTCGCGGTTCCCACGGCGGAGCAGGCCCCGCAGGCCCTGCGCGCAGCACGCAGCCAGCAGCCAGCTCTCTTGCATTCGGAGCCCTTTCAACGGGAGACCGACCGACCGATCGGCCGTGTACACAGACTTCCTGGCCAGGGCCTGGCTCCCCCCGGCACCGCCCGCCACCGAGGCTCCTCCGCCCGGCTGCTCTCAGCACCCGTCCTCCGTCCTGGCATGAGAAGCTCACAGGACAGTTGCCCACTGTCTGGCTGCAGGTGCATTCAATTTGGCCAGCACAGCGGTTGTTTTAATCTCTGAATGTGTGCACAGCCCTGGCCTCTCCACATAACGCCCTCCTGGTCACGCCAGGCCTCTGAAGGCACGAAGGCCGGTGACCCCTGGTTCAGGTCTTACCTGCGCACGATGAGAGCCCTTAAAGGCCCAGAGCACGGGCCTTTGGTGGTGGGAATCCAGAGCCCAGAGCTCCCGGTCGCCGGCCCAGCGATGTCTTCACACCGGCCTGTTGCGTGTGGGTTTCTGAGCCAGCTCCGCGGCGTGGGGTCCGGACAGGAGTCAGCAGGGAGGCAGCGGCGCTCAGCTCTCCTGGGGCTGTGCCTCCCTGGCCGCCCGACGACGTTCAGAGAGGGAGGACAGTGACACCTGGTGTCCGGTGCCATCCTCCAACCCCGCCGGCCCCGTCTGAGCTCCCCTCTTCGTCCCACCAGCGCTGCCTCTCGGACTCCCCTGTCCGGGCACAGACAGCCTGGAACCAGGCGTCACCAGTCACCTCTCTCTCCCGCGGCCCAACCCCCGCCAAACCGCTCATTGCACTTGTGGTGACTTTGTGTGTCCTGCCTCCTTTTGGCTCCGAAATTCATCTCTCCTGTGTTCTCGCCCGAAACTGCCTGATCCATGTTCCCACCATACGGCTTCGCCGATCCTCTGCCCGTGGTCACAGGGCCTCGCCAAGGCCATGGCCTCAGCCGGCCCGTGGCCGGCCCAGGCTGCCCTCCCGGCAGGCTTCCTGCTCCTCTCGCATGGACCACTCTTTTGAGAGAAGGAGAGAAAATGGCTACCATCATTTTGATGGACAGAGATGAAGACTGTCCAGCGCGGGGCTAAGGGCGGGCAGGGCAGCGGCCAGGGCGGAGGCTTGGCTCTGCTTCACAAGGAGTAACGCCCTCCCCCGCAGCTCACAGTGGGCACCGCCGCTGACCCGCTACAGACAGGGACACTGAGGCCCCACCTCAGTCAGCTGGACGCCAGCCTGCTGCTGCCCCTCCAGGTGAGAGAGGCGGAGGAGGCGGAGGAAGAGGAGGCCCGAGGCTCAGGGGAGGAAGGAAGTGGGCGCGCTCCTGCTGACAGACCAGGGCAGCACAGGGAGTGTGTCTGTCGGCCATCAAGCTCCCTTTCAGTCTGTCCTTCCCCTTCTCAGTTTGTGCCCAGGTCCCAGCTTCATCGTGTGGTGGCTCCGAGCACAGCTCTCGGGTGCTGGGTGACTGAGACCCGGGAGTGCCCAGACCTGCACACACTCCCAGGAGCTCGTTGTTTCCTAGACTTTGCAGAATTAAGAATTTATAAGTCGGACAACAGTTCCTTTTATTTTGTTATCTCTCATAGTAGAAATTCAATGCATGGACAGAATGGCTACCATCAACAAATCAACAAACGACAAGTGCTGGCGAGGATGTGGAGAAAAGGGAGCCCTCGTGTGCTGCTGGTGGGAATGCAGACTGGTGCAGCCATTATGGAAGACAGTATGGAGTTTCCTTAAAAAATTAAAAATGGAACTGCCAGTTGACCCAGTGATCTCACTTCTAGGAATATATCCTAAGAAACCAGAAACACCCATCAGAAAGGATATATGCACCCCTATGTTCATAGCAGCACAATTCACCATAGCTAAGATCTGGAAACAGCCCAGGTGCCCATCAGTAGATGAGTGGATAAAGAAGCTGTGGTAGATCTATACCAGGGAATACTATGCAGCAGTAAAAGAGAAGGATCTCTTACCCTTTGGGACAGCACGGAGGGGCCTGGAGAGTATTACGCTAAGAGAAATAAGTCAGTCAGAGAAAGACAAGTATCACATGATCGCACTCATATGTGGAATGTAATGAACAAAATAAACCGATGAACAAAGTAGATCCAAAGACATGGAAGCATGGGACAGACTGTCGAATCTCAGAGGGAGGGAGGGTGGGTGGGAAGACATCAACCAAAGAACTTGTGTGCATATATGCATGGCCCATGGACACAGACAACAGGGTGGTGAGGGCCTGAGGCAGGGGCGGGAAGGGGCTAGGGGGTCAATGGGGATAGAAAGGGGACAGATGCAATACTTTCAACAATAACGGTTAAACATGTTCAATGCCTAATTAGCCTCACGTGCTGTCGGGCAGCGGTGGCCAGCCCCCCTCGTGCTCCCCTCAGAGTTCCTGCCAACAAGCAGCGTC